TTCAGGTAACACTTTGACTCCTAATTTGATTAACGATGGGACAATGCCCAGGATTGATTTTTTCTATACCTTCTAACTTTAGTTTTTCACTACTTTTTAAAATCTTAAATGATAAGTTTTATGTTTGGTTGCAAAGATTGTTTTTGTTGTCATATTTTGAATTGCTGATCTTTATGAACTTGTTGTGTTTAGGTAATAGTTACCTAGTTATTTCACTGAATCCAAATTAAGAATATATAATCAAATGTAATACTCTGAAATAAAAATCATATTTTTCTATTTTTTCCAATAATTCTTTCATTTTTACCACAGAATTTTGAGAAAGTAGTAAAATATAGATTATCAAGAATTCAGAATTCCAAAAACCATACAAATGACTAAATACTTACCCCAGAGGACAACATAATAATACGTATTTTAGTTTTCAGAATAACCTAGTGGAGTTAGAAAATGTTTAGAGAAATTAACTCATAAAATAATATAATGCAGTAGGCTGTTAGTCTGCCAAACAAATGTAATACAACATATTCTATATGTAATTATTTTAAAAATTAATTTTATTAATATAATTGCCCTTCATTATTTATTGTATTGTTTGTAGATAAACACTATGTTCATAATTATAGAAGGATTTTTTTTGCTCTTCACTTTGTATTTTAATGTCATTTAATAAGAAAATAGCTAATAAAATTCATTGTTAAATTAGTCATTTGGCTTGATGGTTTTAGAAATGACCTGAGTTGAGCCAGTAAGTAAAACGCAGATCTTACATTTGATTCTGCAGTGAGTGCCATCAACTTTTGACTCATCATCTTGTTACTGTGTCCTGAAATGCTGCTGGGGAATTATGCATTGCCAAGTAATAAATATGATGGCATAATTCACTTTCCCTGAGTCACAATATTGCTAATTTTTGTCATAGCAATATAAATTATAATTTTACAAATATCTTCAGGCTTGTTCCATGAGGTGTCAACATGAAGAATGTCACTGAAGTTACTATATTTGTACTGAAGGGCTCCACAGACAAGCTTGAACTGCAAATTATCTTGTTCTCCCTGTTTCTGGCAATTTACCTGTTTACTCTGATGGGAAATTTGGGACTGGTTCTGTTGGTCATTGGGGATTCCCAACTCCACAACCCTATGTACTACTTTCTGAGTGTGTTATCATTTTTGGATGCCTGCTATTCCTCAGTTGTGGCCCCCAAAATGTTGGTCAATTTCCTGTTGGAACATAAAACCATTTCATTTCTTGGATGTGCAGCACAGATGTTTTTCTTTGTTACTTTTGGGACCACAGAATGCTTTCTCTTGGCTGCAGTGGCATATGATCGCTATGTAGCAATCTACAACCCTCCTCTGTATTCAGTTAACATGTCACCCAGGGTCTATGTGCCACTCATCATTGCTTCCTATCTTTGTGGCATTTTGAATGCTTCAGTGCACACAGGCGCTGCATTTAGCCTAACCTTCTATGCATCTAATGAAATTAGACATTTTCTTTGTGACATCCCTCCTGTCCTCGCCATTTCTTGTTCTGACACGCACACAAACCAGCTTCTAGTCTCCTACTTTATGGGTGTTATTGAGATAATCACTATCCCAATTGTCCTGATCTCCTATGTTTTCATTCTATTGGCCATTTTAAGAATGCAATCTGCCAAAGGGGGAGAAAAAGTTTTTTCCACATGTAGTGCTCATCTTACCGGAGTGTCACTTTATCATGGAACAATCATCTTTATGTATGTGAGACCCAGTTTGAGCTACTCTTTGGACCATGACATGATAGTGTCAATATTTTACACTATTGTGATTCCCATGCTGAATCCCATTGTCTACACTTTAAGGAATAAAGATGTAAAAGAGGCAATGAAAAGAGCGTTTGGTAAAACTAGGTGTATCAATAAAATATATTTTACATACTAACCATTAAATTAAAATAAATTTAGAATGATGTTCATTGTCTCCATGTCAAGAAGTTATGATATAAATGTTTTATTTTAGTTTACTTTCTTTCTATTCTTCTTGGACATTTTTAGGTGAAGACCAGAGTCATACCTCTACCTATGCAGTTTCCACACATGCAGAAAAACTGTGTCATCTATTTGTTTCCTACTTAATTCATTCTCAGATATACACACACATGCAAATACACACATACGTACATATATGCTGATACAGATTTTGTTATTCTGTAGTTGGGTGTTATTGTGTTGTGTTATTATGTCAGCTGCTGTAAGAAAGTGTCACACATTAGTGGCTTAACCAACAGAAATCTATTTCTCACCGTTCTTGAATCTAGAAGTCTGAGGTCAAGGTGAAGGCAGGGTTCATTTCTTCTAACGCCTTCTCCTCGGTTTGTGGATGGCAGTCTTCTCCCTGGGTCTTCATGTATTCTTTTCTCCTTGACTGTCTATGTCTTAATATCTTCTTCTTATAAAGATACCAATGATACTGGATTAGGGCCCACCCTAAAGACCTCATTTTAACTTAATTATCTTCACAAAGAGCTTATCTCCAAATACAGTCACATTTTGAAGTACAGGGGTTAGGATTTCAACATATGAATATTGGTATATATTATATATATATTTACACACACAGAGTCACATATACACGTAATATTTTTTTAAAAAGTATAGTATTGAATTTCTTCTCAATGTGAGTCAAATTGGATAGGATACTAGGTTGCAATTACAAGTAATTTTATAACTATGTCTGACAATCTTGAGCAAATACCACCTAATCAATAGCAAAGCTGACATATTCCCATACCACTTTTGTTGAATCATTGGTATCAGACTCCAGTTCAAAGCACTCTGTTCCATTCTCAGATCCATGCCTTGGCAACAATATAATCACAGCCTGTGGTTAGGAGACCTCGGAGAACATGCTCCAATTCCAGGTGTCATTACCATGCTGTTTGTGAGGGTGCATTCCTTCCCCTTTTATTATTGCCTTATTTCATCTAGAGCGTGGACACTCAACTCGTTCTTTATTTCCTCACAGAATACAGAGACGAAGCATGATCACTTATCAGGATCTTACATAAACACAAGAATGACAAAAGACAAGCACAATTCCAAGAAGAAGGTACAGCTCTCTGGTAGATTGGGCTCTTCTGAAAACTAAACCTCTGCCATCTTTGTGGGTTTCCCTACAGGGCTTGTCCTGGCTCAGCTTGGGCTCTGTTTTACTTTGACCCCTATCACTCTGTGCTGTCCTTGAAAATGCCTGCTGTGTTCAATGTCCAGGCCCAAGAAACAGAGTAAAGATGAGAGTCTTTCCTGTGCTTATGTCTACCCCTGCTTACAACATGCCTTGTTTTCATTGCAAGGACATGTCTCCTCCAAAGTTAATTATATGTGGTTGTTTTTTATCTTGCTATCCTCCTTCCTTCCTTTCATTATCATTAATATTTTTTGAGTGTGAAATTCCTTTTGTTGCAATAGGACAGTTACCTTACGTAGAGTAGAGCCTAAGGACATTTTCCTAAAGTGGAAGTATTAAATTTAAATAACACCTCTACATTACAAATATAGAGCATCTCTAATCACAATATATTCTCAATTTTTCTGCATTTCTTTTCTCCTGTCTGAAAGGCTCTCCACACTATTTTTCAGAAGATTGCTTTCTTCACATTTCTCTTGTTAGTGAAGTCTCATTGGCTACATTATGATGATTGCAATTTACCATATTTGCATCTCCACATATTCCTCGTTTATTACATGCACCCATTGCACTTTCCACTATTTTACATAATATGAATTTTAATTTATCTTTGGTTTATTGTCTAATCTATTTTCCAGAGCCTAGAACAAGTCCGACACGTGCTGTTCCTCATAAATATTCCCTTAATAAATGTATATTATGGATAGAAAACTGAAAAATATTTTATTTACTTCAGTTAATGGAGACGTAAAACTGAGATCACATTTTCTGTGCAAATATTAGTTTTTGTTTAGATTTTCCAGTTTTATCTTTCCTTTTAAAATTCTTCCTCTTCCTTTATTAGTCTATTTTGCTATTATTTTGCTTTCTGAATTGGAGATACATGTTGCAATAAACCCTGTGTCAATGCCATCCCACATTTTTTAATTTGTCATATGTTCCTTATCAGTATATCTGTTTTTTTATTTATTTCTCTTTGACTTGAGTGATTTAGTAACTTATTTTTAAATGTCAAACAGTAATAGTCTATTTTTATTTGTTATTCATTTCTAAACAGAATGAAATTTTCGTATATTCTATGTTAAGATCTTTTTACACTAATATATGGCTGCAGATACATTTGAACACAGAGAATTCTCTCTTATTTGTGGTCAAAGCTTAATACACACTTTTCTATAAAAATATTCTTATCAAATGTATGCTTTAAGTCTTTATGTCCTCTTCAATATTTTCTTGACTAAAAATGTTCAATAGAAGTGTGTTAGGTTTTCCTCATGTTAGCATGATTCTATGTGTTTTTTTCTTTGAATTTCCTGTACGAGAAGTTTTCAATTTGAAAACATTTTTGTTACATTAATATTTGCATAGATCAACATTTCTAAGTCTTCAATGTGAAATAAAGTCTATCGATACATGTTATCCATTTTTGTTTATTTTGATACTCTTTCCTGCACTCTGCATTTCTCGACATTCAAATTACAACCAATGTTCTTTTCATGAGTATTCCCTAAATGTATATCCAGCCATACTTTCATTTTTATCTTTCTGAAACAATTAGTAATATACCTAGATTTTTAAAGACTATTGAAAGTCTTTTCTTTTTAAAAATATATTAGGCTCATTTACAATTACTGCTAAACACATAGTCAATTGGGTTTGTCATAATGTCCATGTTACTAAACATGTATGATACACATATATGTGTTTTTATATACATATGTGCATATATACACAGGTAGATACACACACGACATATGTTAAATCTTTCCCTTTGGGGGCTTCATCACTCCCTGTGTCATTATTTATTTATTTTTTGAATGGTTTTGTTTTTTTAGGAATATATCTAGTTTGAAAAATTCTGTCTATATTATCTCCATTGTCCCTACATTTTTAGATGCAATCTCTTGGTTTCCTACTGTGAGAAATATTGGTGTTGGCAGTTAGTCAAAGTTCAATTTGGCTATTTGAATTTTATATTCATATTTGTCCTTTCTCATGTTGCCTTGTTTCCATTTTAGCCTGTCGTGAAGTACTGTTGAAAAACATGATAAAGGCTTTTTTCTAGCCCTTAAAATTAAGGAGATCTTTTGTTCTGGTTCTGTATATGGAAATATTAAGTTTAATAAATATAATTTAATATTGATCTTTCTTTGTTGACTAAGTTAGAACGTATTATACCTTTTTAATAGGAAGCTTCAAATCTTCTTTCATTTCAGGGAATAAAATCTGGATTACATTTTGTGATACCTTTTCTGCTTCTTGGGTTTGGTTTTCCTCTTTGAAGGATTAAATTATATGCATGTTCTGACTTCTTTGTCTTTATATTCTTCCTTTCTTCTGTTTTCCTTACTGTATTTTTGTGGGATCTATTCACTTTAAAAAGAAATTCACGACTTTTTTCTTTATCTTATGTAAATCATATTTAGAGATATACAAGGGTAGGAACATTCTTAAGTAATAATTTACATAACATAAATTTCACCTGTTCAACATATATGCTTCATTATGCTGAATAAATTTAAAGGATTGTGCAATTTCATCACTCTTAAAAGAAACATTGCAGCAGCTAGCAGACATTCCCTATTCTCTCATCCCCAAACCTAGGAACCACTCTCTATTTTCTATCTCTATAGATTTATCTTTTCTGGACGTTTCATATGAATAGTACTATACAATGTGTTGTGCTTTGTGACTGACATGTTTTCTTCAAATAATGTTTTTAACCATCCATGTCATAGCATGTGTAAGTACTTCATTTCTTTTTATTACCGTACTATAATCCATTGCGTAGATATATCACATTTGTTTATCCATTCATCAGTTGAGGGTCATTTGGGTTGCTTTTACTTTTTGGCTTTTACTCATAATGCTTATGAACACTTTCATGGAAGTGATTAATTAAACACATGGTTTTAATTATCTTGGGTAGATACTGAAGAGTGGCCCCAGGCCCAGACGGTTTCACTGGTGAATTCCACCAAACATTTAAAATGAATCAATACCAATGCTTCAAAAACTCTTCCAGAAAATAGAAGAGGAGGAAACACTTATCAACTCTTTCTATAACGTCAGTATTAAACTGACAAAACCAGACAAAGATACCACAGGAAAATAAAAACAATAGAAAATCAATTAATAACTTATGACTATAGGTGTAAAAATCCTCAACAAAATGCTAGCAAATCAAATTGAGCGAATTAGGAAAATTAGTATTCAGGGGTTGATTCACTCTTGCGCTGCTTCTATATTAGTCTTCATTTCTACAATGATTTTCCCCCCAATTCTTTCTTGAATCCAAGCAATCGTTTTACGAAATCTCATTTTTGGTGCATACATTTTCTGAGATTTTCTATATTTTCTATAAGCTGCTCTCAATATATTTTAGACTTTTCTTAATTAGTCTCTGTGTTTGCTTTATGATATATTTTTCTGATATACTTTTATTATCAATGGATATTTAAAACATTTCTCATTTTTTTCACATTATATTATTGAACAGGTGGGACTTCTTTGGAACCTTTTTCTCTCCTCAATATTTAAATGAAAAAAATATACATACACTTGGAAAAATTTGTTTTTTTATGTTTGGTGGTAGAGTTGTGCTTCTGCATTTTTCTTAACTTTACACCTAGAGGGCTTCAATCTCTGTTGTTAACATAATTGTTTTTGTTGAAATTCCTGCTGTTTTTGTTTTTCGTATGTTTTTAAGGACATGTTTTAATCACATGCATGTGTCTGCA